CATTGTTGTTTGGTGGGCCCGGGCTGGGGATTCGAACCCGCCACCTTAGGTGTATGTGGCTGGTGCCTTAGCCGCTTGAGCCACAGGCACCAAGCCAAAATACTTCTAATAAGGCATTTTAGAATTAACATTTTCTACATGTTGTCACAATACACATTATTTCATGAATACAGAAGTTTTTTTATTTTTTCATTTAATGTTACAAGACACAACTGCTGATTTGACATATATTCACATGTAACTTTTCCTCTCACATTTGTAACTTGACAGACGAGTGAATCCAGAGGAATTGCTCTAATCATTATATGGAGCAAACCTATAATGAAAAGGGAAAAAAAATTAAAACTATAGCACTAACCAGTAGAAATAACATTAAAATTAAACCACTATGAATAATTCACCCTAGAGCATCAGAAATAGTCTAGAAAACAAATCCACAAAGAGTATCAATATATCATTTCATTTAAGTTTTAACAAAAAATGTATTGCCTGAACTATGAAAGAACAGCAAAAGCTGTTTTGATTTAAATACCCATTTCATTTTTACTTTTTTTTTTCTCTGAGATATAGTCTCACTATATTGCCCTCGGTAGAGTGCTATAGCATCACAGCTCACAGCAACCTCAACTCTTGGGCTTAAGCAATTCTCTTGCCTCAACCTCCCAAGTAGCTGGGACTACAGGTACCTGCCATGACGCCCAGCTATTGTTTTGTTGTAGTTGTCATTGTTGTTTGGCTGGCAGACAAGCCAGGGCCTGGGTTTGAACCTGTCATCCCCATTGTGGCTGGCATCCTAGCCACTGAGCTATAGGCACCAAGCCTCATTTTTACCTCTTAGCTGACTGATTGGAGCAATGAAATGGGGGAGGTAGTAATAGAAAAACAGAATCAGGGCGGTGCCTGTGGTTCAGTGAGTAGGGCACCAGCCCTATATACTGAAGATGGTGGGTTCAAAACTGACCCTGGCCAAATTGCAACAACAAAAAAAAAACAGCTGGGTGTTCTGGTGGGCACCTGTAGTCCCAGCTACTAGGGAGGCTGAGGCAAGAGAATTGCCTAGGCCCAGGAGTTAGAGGTTGCTGTGAGCTGTGTGATGCCATGGCACTCTACCAAGGGTGATAAAGTGAAACTCTGTCAACACAAAAGATAAAAAAAGAAAAACAGAATCACAAGATTTGGATAATCAACCTTTAAAGAGCTGAGCTTGACAGTTATTAAAACAAAGTATAGTTGGTGCTCATTATGCTTATCATCCAGCAGATATATTCTAAATTATCTAATTTAGGCTGGGCATGGTAACTCACACCTATAATCCTAGTACTCTGGGAGCCTGAGGCAGGTGGACTGTTAAGCTCAGGAGTTAAAGACCAGCCTGAGCAAGAGTGAGACTCTGATTCTAAAAAAATAGCTGGGCATTGTGGTGGATGCCTGTAGTCTCAGCTACTAGGGAGGCTGAGGCAAGAAAATAGCTTGAGCCCAAAAGTTCAAGGTTGCTGCGAGCTATGATGATGCCAGTCATAATTTTTTTTTGGTGACACAGTGAGACGCTGTCTCAAAGAAAAAAAAATTACCTACTTTAATGAATCTAATCATGAAAGTTGAGCTTTTGTTTTTGCTTTTTTAGACAGAGTCTCACTATGTCACCCTCAGTAGAGTACTCTAGCATCACAGCTCACAGCAACCTCCAACTCCTGAGCTTAGATGATTCTTTTGCCTCAGCCTCCTGAGTAGCTGGGACTATAGGCACCCACTACAATGCCTGGCTACTTTTGTGTTGTAGTTCGGCCGGGGCTGGGTTCCAACCTGCCACCCTTGGTATATGGGGCTGGCACCCTACCAACTGAGCCACAGGCGCCACCTGAAAGTTGAGATTTTTTTTTTTTTTTTTTTTTTTGAGACAGAGCCTCAAGCTGTCACCCTGGGTAGAGTGCCACGGCATCACAGCTCACAGCAACCTCCAACTCCTGGGCTCAAGCGAGTCTTCTGCCTCTGCCTCCCAAGTAGCTGGGACTACAGGTGCCCGCCACAACACCTGGCTATTTTTTTTGGCTGCAGCCATCATTGTTGTTTGATGGGCCCAGGCTGGATTCGAACCCACCAGCTCAGGTGTATGTGGCTGGTGCCTTAGCGGCTTGGGCCACAGGTGTTGAGCCTGAAAGTTGAAATTTTTAAGAATGACTTTTTACCTTAGAAAAGGTTTAATATAGGACTTATTTATTTTTTATTTTTTTTTGAGACAGGAGCCTCAAGCTGTCCCCCTGGGTAGAGTGCTGTGGCATCTCAGCTCACAGCAACCTCCAACTCCTGGGCTCAAGC